CCCTCACTGGGGGATTCTAGGCAGGTGCTCTACCACTGAGCCATACTCCAGCCCCTCACTGGGGGATTCTAGGCAGGTGCTCTACCGCTGTGCCACACCCCAGCCCCTCACTGGGGGATTCTAGGCAGGTGCTCTACCACTGAGCCAACCCCAGCCCCTCACTGGGGGATTCTAGGCAGGTGCTCTACCGCTGAGCCACACCCCAGCCCTCTTTTTATTTTTCATTTTGAGACGGTCTTGCTGAGATGCCCAGGCTTGCAGCCCTCTTGTCTCAAGCTCTTGAGTGCTGCGGTGATTCCCGACATAGTTACCCAGCCAGGCCTGACTATCGTTAATGACCTCACACCTGTGCCACCTCTCCACGGTTCCACCAATGGATCCACATACCTGTTGGCCCTTCAGTCGCCTTTCCTTTGTCCATCAGCATTGTCTGAACATTAAGAATTGGTGGGGAGCCAGGCGGTGGTGGTGCACACCTTTAATCCCAGCACTCGGGAGACAGAGGCAGGCGAATCTCTGTGAGATCGAGGCCAGCCTGGTCTACAGAGTGAGTTCCAGGACAGCCAGGACTGTTTCACAGAGAAATCCTGTCTTGAAAAATAAAAAAATAAAATAAAATAAAAAGGATTGGTGGGGAATTTTCTAGAAGGTGTGGCCGAGAGTCCTATGTCCTCCCAGAGAACTTTGTCCCTCCTCCATATCTCTTAACTCCAAGCTACTTCATCTCTTCCTGGCAGAGACCCAAGCCCTCTGCTTTCAACATGGTGCCACGCGCCCCACCCGGGAGAGGGGTACAAGGTCCCTGAGAGCGCTTGGCAACCATCAAAAACAGGAGGGGCCAGCAGCTTCCCTCATCCCTGAGAAAAGGGAAACTGAGTCACCAAAAGATTATGGGCTGAGCTGACTGGGATGGGTTCCTAGGCCCAGGTTTCCCGTCTCCCCACCCCCCAACAACCCCGGCCCTCGACCCTCTGCCCTGAGTCACTGCTGCCCCCTGCTGGTTACTCCAGGAGAAACCCCGCTCCAACCATGTCCGTGGTGTTGGGTAGGGTGGCACATGCCTGTAATCCCAGCAAGCCAGAGGCTGAGGCAGGAGGATCAAAAGTTACCTCAAGATCATCCTTGGCAACATAGCAAGTCTGACGCCATCTGGTTTATGCGAGACCTTGTCTCAAAAAATAAAATAAAATAAAAACAAAAACAGGCAGGGGATGTAGCTCAGTTAGTAGAGTGTTGGTCTAGAGTGCCGGAGGCTCTGGTGAGATCAGGTAGCTCTGCTTGCTAGAGTCCATCAGAGGCAGGCTGTGGACTGTTGACATTCTCTTAGAAAAGGAGAGGATGGCAAGAGTCATTGAACCCTCACCCCAACCTCCCAGCCACCCCTCCCAACCGTTTGTTTACAATTCTGCCTTGACTGCGTGTGGCCTGGGATCCCAGGGAGAGGCTAGACTACACAGGCTGAGCGGAGACTAGGAAACGGGCCTTCATTTATGTGCCCATGGGAGCCATGGTCCGTGCTGGGTGCAGACTTCCTGTTGTGGCTCCTTTGGGGTCAGCCATGCCTCTGCCAGTGAATGCTCACCCATGCTCTCTGTGAGGCAGCCGGCACACTCACTGGTTCCCCCATGGCGATATTTGGTGGAATCCCACCTTGGTTTGTTCTTGGGACCTCAAGAAGAAGGGGTAGATGTTGATGACATTCCCCTAGGGAAAGAATTTTGCCCACACCTGGGCTGCATCCTCAGCACCACATAAACCAGGCCTGGTGGCGTGTACCTGTCATGCCAACACTGGGAGCCGAAAGATCAGGTGCTTAAGGTCGCCCTCAGCTGCTTAACAAGTATGAGGCCAACCTGGCCACATGAGGCCTGCTCTTTTCTTTAGGTTTCAACAGTGGCACCCCAGCAGGGAAAGAGGGGGTGCAGGGCGAGGGAGCCAAGACTGAACAAAAGGGATAAGGAGGGAGGTTGACGTGGACCCTGAAGGGGGAGTTGCTAGGAGTTTTAGGTGCAGGAGACCAGGAGGAAAGCATGCCTTCTGAGGATGGAGGTGCGTGGAAGGAAAGGACTGACTGCTTCACCCCTGCACGCTCCCCAGGGTACGTCCAGGGCTGCCGCGCCCTCATGATCACCGCCATCCTCCTGGGCTTCCTGGGCCTCTTCCTAGGCATGGTGGGGCTGCGCTGCACCAACGTGGGGAACATCGATCTCTCCAGAAAGGCCAAGATACTGGCCATTGCAGGGGCCCTCCACATACTCGCTGGTAATGGGGGAGAAAGGGGATGCGTGGGTGGGGGAGGCCCTCACCACAGCCCCTGCCTTCTCTGTCCTCATCTGCTCTCAGGGCTTGCCTCACCTTCCCCTTGGGTTGGCCCCTGCCCTCTCTCACTCATCTCTCCCCTCTCCCCACCCTGTCTGTACTCTGCAAATCTCTAGACCACAACCCAGTGTCCAAGAGTAGGGCTTGCCCTTCTTTTTTTTTTTTTTTTGGTTTTTCGAGACAGGGTTTCTCTGTGTAGTTTTGCACCTTTGCTGGAACTCACTTTGTAGCCCAGGCTGGCCTCGAACTCACAGAGATCCACCTGCCTCTGCCTCCCCGAGTGCTGGGATTAAAGGCGTGCACCACCACCGCCCGGCGGGCTTGCCCTTCTTGACGCTGAGCCAAATCCCAGCCAGGCCTGAGAGGCCATTTCCTTCCGAAACTTACAACTGGGAGGGAGCAGAGTCAGGGCACACACACACACACACACACACACACACACACACACACACACAGAATAACAATGCTACAGATGGCCTATTACTGTCCAGCTTATTACATTTCTGCACACATTCCTTCACAATAAACCATGCAGGGCTGGTGAGTGCTGACCCAAGACTGATCCAGGGGTAGATGGGAAGAACCAACTTCTGAAAGTTATCCTTGGACTACCACATGAGCATCTGCACTCACACACATACACCACGCACAAATAACAAACTAAGAACAACAGTCATTTTTAAAAATCCTGACAGGGCAGGTATTTCCCGTTTTCTAGATCTGAAGGTTTGGAAAGGTCCCTTAGCCAGTGTGGCAGTGAGGAGTGATAACCCACAGGGATGTCAGTGGGTGGGAAAGACTGTCTGGACAGCTGGGCTTTCAAGATGGGTATGGTTACCATCTAGGGGTCATGATCAGATTCATTTTCTCTGCCAGTTAAAGAATTAAGAGGCAGAGAAAACCCTCAAGCTGGACAGGTCGCAGGTGAGAAACCTTGAACACAGCAGATGATTCAGCAGTTGAAGGAAGGCGTTTATTGGGGATGAGGAAGCACACAAAGGCACCAGACACACAGAGAAAGACTCTCCACAAATCAGAGGGAGAACTGAGAAGCCGAAAGTCCAGTGCCTTCTCGAAGGCGGGACCTTTAAGTCTGAAGAGCCTTTCTCCGTCAGGGTTGGTCGGTTGGAAGACAGACAGGATGGCTGATTGGCCCTCAGCTGTTGCGTAACATGTCCTGATCCAGCATCGAACTGTCAGTTCATCCATGACCGACCGCTGCAGGAGAAAACAGGAGTCCACAGGGCCTTTGTTTTAAGCTGCTAGGCTTCTGTCTCAAATCCAGGAGGGAGGGAGAAGCCAGCCATCTTAAATGTCCACCATCTTTATTACCTAGGCATGGCCACCCTCCTTGTCTCCCAGGGAATCTTCTTTCAATCCTAGTCCCTCAGTATATTTGAGGTCTAGCGTGCACAGAACCCTAAGTTCCATCCCCAGCATTGAGTAAACTCTGTGTGGGGGTAACAGGATCACGGTCATGCCAGGCTACGTGGTGAGTTCAAGGCCAGCCTAGGCTTCCTAAGAGCTTGTCTTAAAAAATGTAAGCTACCTTGGGCTTCAAGTGGCCTGAAGGCTGCACTTTGAACAGGTCTGGGTCACAGGCTGGAACAGAGGAAAGGAACTGTTCCTCTTGAACATCCTGTCCCATCCCTCAAACTCCTCATAGCTCACTTGCTTTGAGAGGCTGTGGCTACAAGAAGGGCCTTTACGACGATCCTCCCTCCTTTCCTCCAGGGGCCTGCGGAATGGTGGCTATCTCCTGGTACGCCATCAACATCACTACTGACTTCTTCAACCCCTTGTATGTTGGAACCAAGTAAGTGAGGGACCCTGCCCCTGGGGACAGGGGGTGGGTAGGTCTCGGCCCAGCCCCTCTGGGCTGGCCCTTACCTCTTCCACTCCGCCAGGTATGAGCTGGGTCCCGCCCTCTACTTGGGCTGGAGTGCCTCCCTGCTCTCCATTCTGGGTGGCATCTGTCTCTTTTCCACCTGCTGCTGTGCCGCCAAGGAAGACCCAGTCACCAGGTGAGGGGACAAACGGGTGGAGGCCTGGATTGAGGACTCCAATGTGCTGTGACCACCTGTGACCCTGCCTTCCTCCTAATTCCACAGGACTGGCCTTCCCTACAAGGCTTCTACAGTTGTGGTACCCAAAGCCACCTCGGATGAAACCGACATCAGCTTTGGTAAATATGGCAAAAACGCCTACGTGTAGGAGCTCTGGCCTGGTGGACACCAGTTCTTGTCCCACTGTCCCCAGCGGAAGTGTCCCCAGGACCGTCAGACCACTCTCCAGTTAATAACCTCAGGACAGACCATTTTCAGACTCCACCCTGTGCCTGGAAGCCACGGCCTGCTCTGGGCACACCTTATCTGGCACTCCAGCCTCTCCCAGGAACAGAAGCTGTGGAGGCTGCTTGCGTGGCCTCTTACAGCTGGACCCAAGGGGACAGAGGTGTCTGCAGCTTGTGACACCATATGAACACATGTATAAATAAATGTATATTGTGATTGTTCGGGGCTTCAGGGGTCAGGAAGGTGCAGCAAGTACCAAACCATGCCGGTCAAGACTGTCCACTTGAGCAGTCTCAGCCAGTGACACAGTGTGCCAAGGGGCTGGGGAGACGGCTCGGTGAGTTACAGTGTCTGCCGCACAAGTATGAGGGCCTGAGTTCAAATCCCCAGAATCCATGTAAAAAGCCAGGTGTGGTCACACTCGTGTAACCCGAGCGCGGTTGGGGAGGCTGAGGCTTACTGGCTTCCAGCCCAGCTCAAGGTCCATGTGAGACCCTGTCTCTAAGGAATAAAGTGGAGATTGAGAGAGCAGGGTGCTAGAAGCCCTCCTCCGACCTTCCAGGCACACAGACTCGAGCACAAACAACACACACACACACACACACACACACACACACACACACACACACATGCACACACGCACATTCTTAAAAAAAGGTGTGGCAAGTGATCTGAAAAGGAGAATAGCTAATTGCCGCTCAGAGTCACCCACCTCAGGGAATTATTGTTAGCTGGGACGCCCCTAGACAGCTGATAGTCTCTCTCTTTTGACTCTTAACCTGTTTTTTTACAGCTGCACAGAGGAGCAGTTGGTCTAGAACAGGAGTTTGTGTGTGTGTGTGTGTGTGTGTGTGTGTGTGTGTTTGAACTAGATCTGGGGTTTAATAAAGATATTTTAAAAGATGCATTGTTTACATGCATGTGTGTGTGTGCCTTCGTGTGTTTCTATATGCCATGCGCCTGCCTGCAGGTGTCTGAAGCCCAAAAGAGGGCACCGGATCCCTTGGAGCTGGAATTACAGGTGGTTATGAGGTGACCTATGTGGGTGTTGGGAACAGAACCCTGATCCTCTGTCAGAGCTACAAGGGCTCTTATCTGTTGAGCCATCTCTTCAGTCCCTTAATAAAGATATTTTAATATAGATGGAAACTCAAGGGTCAAGAGAGAAGACCTCATAAGAAAACGATACCCAAGAGCGTGGATGTCGGCATTTTAGAAGTCTTAGAAAGACACCAAAATACAATATGGGGTCCTCAAAAAGGAGCCCCTGGGATGCATCTTGTTTGTTTCACCTGGGCCTGAGTGTGGTCATCAAGGCCGGGCTGGGCCTGGTGTGTACACATTCCTGTGGGAAAGCTGCGGTATCTTCCAGAAAAAGGCTCATGTATATCCACAGCTGGCTGGTGGGGATGGTGTGTTGTGAGCAGTGTGGTGCGGGCATAGTAGGGACCAAGTAGAGCTGGTGCCTGTTCAAGAAAAGAAAAGGAGGCTGGCCGGGCGGTGGTGGCGCACGCCTTTAATCCCAGCACTCGGGAGGCAGAGCCAGGCGGATCGCTGTGAGTTCGAGGCCAGCCTGGGCTACCAAGTGAGCTCCAGGAAAGGCGCAAAGCTACGCAGAGAAACCCTGTCTCGAAAAAAACCAAAAAAAAAAAAAAGAAAAAAAAAAAGAAAAGGAGGCTGGATGTGGGGGCGCACTCCAGTAATCCCAGCATTTGGGAGACAGAGGCAAGCAGATCAGGAGTTCAAGGTCATCCTTAGCTACATGAGGCCATGTCTAAAAAAAGCTGGGGAGCTGAACTGGAGAGCTAGCTCAGCTGGTAACGTGACTTCCTTTCAAGTATGAGGGCCTGCGTCTTATTTCTAGAATTTAAAAAGGGGGGGTTGGTATGGCGGTATACGCACCACTGGGTAGATGGAGTCAGGGCCTCACTGGCTGGCCAGCCCGGCAAGACCGGCGACCTGCAGGTAAAAGTGACAGACCCCAGCTCCACAAACACGGTGGAAAGTGACCGAGTAGGACACCTCTACTTTCTTTGGCCGTGATAAACGCCACGACCAAAAGCAACTTAGGGAGAAAGGAGTTTATTTTAGCTTTTAATTGCCAGGTCACACTCCATCACTGAGGGAAGACAGGGCAGGAGCTCACGCAGAAACCACAGGGTGATGCTTACCTGCAGTTCCCAGTAGTATAGAGTCTAAACCCACCTGCCTAGGGATGGGGATGCCCACGGTGGGCTGGGCCCTCCCGCATCAATTAGCAGTTAAGAAAATACCCCACAGATGTGCCCACGCTCCACTCTGATCCAGCCAGTCCCCCAGCTGAGACTCCTTCAGATAATTTTGGGCTGTGTCAAGTTAACAGCAGAAGCTAAGTAGAACACCAGTTGATCAGCACCCATCACGTATACATACTCAAACACACACACACACACACACACACACACACACACACACACACACACACACAAACGCACCAAAAGAAAAAAAGAAAAGAAAATGAAGCCACTAGGCAGAAACCTCTGATCCAGTGGCGGGGTAGACAGGATGGGACGTCAGCTGACTAGGTGTCTTCTGCAGCACCGAGCGGTGACCAGGGTCCGCCTCTGGTTCTGCCAGGCAGCCCTTTTTCTGTGCCGCATCCACGCAACTACATCAACTCCCCCCTCTGCCTCCTCTCTCCTTTTCCTTCCAGGAAGCCTGAGCCGAGCACACACCTGAACACTGAACACTGAACTGTATTGAGCAGGATTGCTGGGTTGCGTTTCCATTCTTCAGTTATGGTGTGGTCACGTGATTATAAAAGACCAAGGGAAACTTTAAAAAACAAAACAAAAAACAAACATTTTCCTTTTTTTTTTAAAGACAGGATTTTTGAGATGTGTATCCCTGGCTGTCCTGGAGTAGACCAGGCTGGCCTCGAACTCAGAGAGATCCGCCTGCCTCTGCCTCCTGAGTGCTGGGATTAAAGGTGTGCTCCATCACTGCCTGGCAGGCCACATTTTTATTATTATTGTTGTTGTTGTTGTTGTTATTATTATTATTTGTGTGTGTATGTGTGTGCGTGCGCACACACACGTGTGCCACAGCATATACTCACAAGTCAACTTGTGGGAGTCAGCCTTAGGGGTCAAACTCGGGTCCACAGCCTCAGCCTCAAGTGCCTTTAGCCACTAAACCATCTCACCAATCCAAAATTTTAAGTGAGAACTTGTCTCGAAAAAACAAACCAAAAAGACAAAAACAACAACAACAACAGAAAAAAAAAAACCTCACAAAACTTTGCTGGATCTCATTAGCAGCTTATTAAGGTCATTTGTTCAACAAATACTTAGGACGCCCCTGCTGTGTGTTTCGCAGGGTAATTTCCTGGATTACGTGATTACAGCTTGCAATCCACTTAGACGGCTAAGCAGTGAGTCTGGGATCCTGTAAATGCCATGGTCAGTCTTAGCGGCCAGCACCATCAGCTACAGAACCTCTAGGATTTCCTGTGCTTCCCAGCAATGTCTTGGTCGTATGCTGGTAATAATTTCACACACTCTCCACTTCTGACATCCTAAGGACAACTTGTCGCCGCACACTAACTAGTAGCATCCGGGACAAGTCAGCCTGACCGGCCCCATTGAGTTAAGTATCAGACAGAACTGGTTCCACATCATTTTGCATCATTCCTCAGCCCTCACCCCGCTAGTCCAGTTACTCAGCCCTTGAAGCTGGCTCAACCCAGAAAATACTTCAAGGGTTGGTGATAGTGTAATCTGTAATGATAGCTCCTGGGGAGGCAGCGGCATGAGGATTACGAGTTCAAGGCCTGCTGGAGCTACAGAGTGAGGTGGACACCACCTAGTGAGATCCTGCTTCAAACTATACAATAAAAAAGTGTGGTGGCGCACGCCTTTAATCCCAGCACTCGGGAGGCAGAGCCAGGCAGATCTCTGTGAGTTGGAGGCCAGCCTGGGCTACCAAGTGAGTCCCAGGAAAGGCGCCAAAGCTACACAGAGAAACCTTGTCTCGAAAAACCAAAAAAAAAAAAAAAAAAAAGTGAGCTTGGCAAATGAATGGAAACACATGAACTATGAACCAAAGGCTGAGGGGCCCCCAGCTGGATCAGGCCCTCTGAATAAGTGAGACAGTTGAATGGCTTGATCTGTTTGGGAGGCATCTAGGCAGTGGTACCAAGTCCTGTGCTCATTGCATGAGTTGGCTGTTTGAAACCTGGAACTTATGCAGGGACACTTGGCTCAGTCTGGGAGGAAGGGACTGGACCTGCCTGGACTGAGTCTACCAGGTTGATCGCATTCCTCGGGGGAGGATTTGCTCTGGAGGAGGTGGGAATGGAGGGTAGGCTGGGGGTAAGGGGAGGGGGTGGGAGGGGGGAGAACAGGGGAACCCGTGGCTGATATGTAGAACTGAATGGTATTGTAAAATTAAAAAAAAAAAAAAAAAAAAAAAAAAAGTGAGCTTGGGACATAGCTCAGGGGTCGAGTGCTTACCCAGAATCCTCCAGCGAGGCCTGGAGGTGAGGTTCAGTAGAAGGAGGCTAGCCTAGCTTGTGCAATTCCTCTACTCCCATTACTGGTGGGTAAAGGCCCTTCAAAGTCTGATGACCCACGTTTGAGTCTTAGAACCCAGACATGCCATGGCTCCCATCTGTAGTCCTAGCACCTCTACAGTGAGATGGGAAGTAGGAGAATCACTTGGAAGCTTTGTGGGCCAGCTGGCCTGAAGTCCACTGAGCAGGGGGCAGACACAATAAAACTTTTTTCTCCACAAAGTAGGAGGAGGGAACTGATTCCCTCAAGAGTTGTCTTTGGATGTCTACACACTCCCTGTGGCATGCGCGCGCGCGCGCGCGCGCGCGTGCGCGCGCACGCGCACACACACACGCACACACACACATATAAATATGGAGGAGAAAAAATTGAGACATGTAAAAAAGCAATATTTAAAAAGCAGCACTTGGGCTGGGAGGTGGTGGCGCACGCTTTTAATTCCAGTACTTAGGAGGCAGAGGCGGGAGTTTGAGGCCAGCCTGGTCTACACAGTGTGTTCTAGGACAGCCTGGGCTACACAGAGAAACCCTGTCTCGGGAAAAGAAAAAAAACAAACCATGATGGGGTGGGGGTGGGGGACAGCACTGGGAGGTGGAGCCAGAAGGATTAGGAGTTCAGTCATCCTTCGCTACATATATAGTGAGTTCAAGGCTAGTCTTGTCTACAATAAGACTTTATTTCTAAAACCAAACTAAAGCACCAGCTAATAAGGGCAGAGATGAGTTGAGAGTAGCTGGTGTTGGGACATAAACCTCCCACGACACAGCGGGCAGACAGCGGGAGGCTGGAAGAGGGAGGACAGAGTGTACGCAGGACAGACAGCCAACCTGACCTTCGCCTCCAAACACCTCAACAAGCAGGCAGGTTCCTGTCACCGGGCCATTTATTATCATAGCAATCTGTGGGCTGGACCAAGCCCACCACAGTCCCTGGGGTCCATGTGGCCTTCCCTGGTTGGCAGGACACAGCTTTCCTGGGTGAATGGGCAGTTCCTCTCTCTAGCCTTTGAGGATGAGCTGGGGGAAGGGTTGGGGGAGGATGAGACTTCCTCTCCCTGATGCCAGGTTTACACCGTCCACTTCAGACACCTGCAGAGAGAGAAGAAGCCGGTTGGAGGAGGAGGGAGGTCCTGGATGCTGTGTGGGGTGAGACCATGGGCATGGTTAGGCTCTGGCTCACCTGGTCTCCTGGTGGGTGCCCAGGCAGCGGACCGTGCAGTACCGGGCACCACAGCTTACGCAGGTATACGGGGACGGGAAGCCACACACAGCGCAGAAGGGGCGCTGGGGTCGGGACGGGGGACCCGCACAGGCCGTCAAGTAGTTGGGGCCCTCAGATGTGCTCAGGTTCTGCAGGGACACGAAGGGACAGGCGTGTCCACCGAGGATCCTGAAGAGCATGGGCTCATGCCTTTGATTTGGGGGACCCCCGCCCCCAACACACACACAAACACACCAGGCTGAGAACTCTCTTACCTGCTCCTCCAGCAAAGCCTGGAAGTTTTTCCGGAAGCGAAGTTTGAAATGGTCACCTCGAGTTTTCTTCTTTTTCTTGCCTGGGGGATCAAGGGCAATGAGCTGCTGGACAGCTACTGTGACACTTAGGGTCTGTCCCTCCCTGCTGCATCTGCCCTGTACCCTGGCATCTCCATCCGGGTCCACGGTCAGCGCCTTAAAGTTCAGTCTACTCCATCTTGTTATTTTGGGGACAGGAGCTCATGTAGCCCAGGCTGGCCATGAACTACTCATTGTGTAGACAAGGATGACCCTGGACTGGTTCTCCTGCTTCCGCCTCTCACGTGCTGGAACTACATACAGGCCTTCTGTTGTTGTTGTTGTTGTTTTGACACAAAGCCTCATGACATACCCCAGGCTGACTTCAAACTCACGACGTAGCCCAGGTTGACCTTAGATTCTTGGCAATTCTCCTACCTGAGCGTGCTGCGTGCTGCGTCTACAGGCAAACTCCATCACACCTGCTTGCTTCACCTTTTTTATTCCACACACACAGAGAAACCCAGGCGCAGAGAGGGAAGACACTTGCTCAGCCCAGGAGCAGTTTCCAAGTCACCTCCCTGCTGGGACCCTTCCCACACGGCCTGCCCAGCCCTGACTCCTTTCCTCTCCCAACGACAGGCAGAGTTTGTTGTTTCTTTCTTTTTTTTTTTTTTTCAAGACAGGATTTCCCTGTGTAGCCCAGGCTGTCCTGAAACTCACAGAGATCCACCTGCCTCTGCCTCCCGAGTGCTGGGATTAAAGGTGGGCGCCACCACCGCCTCACCCCCCACTGCTGACAGGGATACTTTGTATTCTGTATTATAAAGGCACACTTGTGGTTGGGGAGTGGCACACGCCCTTAATCCCAGCACCCAGGAGACAGAGCCAGGCGGATCTCTGTGAGTTCGAGGCCAGCCTGGGCTACAGAGTGAGAACCAGGACAGGCTCTAAAACTACAGAGAAACCCTGTCTTGAGGGGAAAAAAAAGTCTGACAGCCTGAGTTCAATCCCGAGAACCCACATTACAAAAGAGAACCAACTCCTGAAAGTTGTCCTCTGACATCCACCCACACGCCATGCCATGGCATGCATGTATACACACACATGCACACATATGCACAAATAAAACAATAGAAGTTGTTCACATTTTCAAAAATCTCTCTGGGTGTCATAGCGCACACCTTCGATCCCAGCAGCTGGTAGGCAGAGGCAGGCGGATCTCTGAGTTCAAGGCTGTCTGGTCTACACAGAGAGACCCTCTCCCAAAAAACAGACTGTAGTTGGTTTCTCACTCTTTTGTTCTTTACCCCATTTGGGGGGCCCGCCATCCAGCTCCCAAATAAATCACACACACGAAGGCTTATTCTTTCTTATAAATGTCCAGCCTTTATTGTTTCTAGCCAGATTTTTTTTTTTTTTTTTTTTTTTTTTTTTTTTTTTTTTTTTTTCGAGACAGGGTTTCTCTGTGTAGCTTTGTGCCTTTCCTGGAACTCACTTGGTAGCCCAGGCTGGCCTCGAACTCACAAAGATCCGCCTGCCTCTGCCTCCCGAGTGCTGGGATTAAAGGCGTGCGCCACCACCGCCCGGCCTAGCCAGATTTTCTTAACTCAAATTATCCCATCAACCTTTTGCCTCTGGGCCTTTTATCTTTCTCTATTCTCTATACCTGTCTTTACTTCTCACTCCATGGCTTGCTGCGTAGCAGGGTGGCTGGTCCCTGGAGTTTCCCCCTCCTTCTTCCTTCCCTGATCTCTCTTGCTTCCTCATCCCTCTTTTTCTCCATCTGTTTATTCTCTCTGTCTGCCAGCCCCGCCTATCCTTTCTCCTGCCTTGCTATTGGCCGTTCGGCTCTTTGTTAGACCAATCAGGTGTTTCAGACAGGCAAAGTAACATAGCTTCACAGAGTTAAACAAATGCAATATAAAGAGTGCAACACATCTTTGCATCATTAAAACAAATGTTCCACGGCATAAACAAATGTAACACTTCTTAAAATAATATTCCACAACAGACAGACAGACAGACAAAACCCTCCCTATAATAGAAAGAGGAGAGAAAGAACAGGCACAGACATGGATTACTAGCGTAGTGTATACAGCTGTTGATGGTTGTTTTGTCAAGCCCTCCCTCCCGGTCCAGGTGTCCTTGGAGCACAAAGGTGACAGGAGTGGATGCTAACTTGACCCAGTGGTTCACAGTGCCCGAGCCCAGCCCAGACATCCACAGACTGAGAGACAAGTACGAGGCATGATAATGAGAGGCACAGCCGTCACAGGTCTCAGAAATGTGGCTGACACCTGACACAGAGGGGAAAGGCTGGATGTCACCCAATCCAGAGTGACTGACAGCCTTTGTCTCTGTCTGTAACCTGCTGACTGGAGAGGGCTCTTTAGAATAGTAACACATCGTCTTCTCGGACTGTCGGCTCTCTGAATCAATCGGAGTTTTAAAGAACCAGGGGCTGGAAACATCGCTCAGTGAGTAAGGACACCTGCTGCCCTACCCAGCAGCCTGAGTGACCCAAGTTCAAACTCTGGAAGCCACATGGTGGAAGGAGAGAACCAATTCCTCTAAGCTGTCTTCTGACCTCACATGCCAGCATGTGCAGAAATGCACACACACACACACACACACATATGCATGCACACACAATAAAGAAATCAAAAAATACAATAGATGCAATTCCCATCTCTGCTCACTGGCATCTGCAGTGACAGGCTGCAGCTTCATGACACCGTCTCATTCTCTCGCCCACACCCCCCCTCACCTGTGTCTGCATCGTCATCAAACTGAGGCAGCCTCTTGCCCAGCTGGGGGAGGCCCGCGTGGGGGTCATCCTGGAAGTTGTCATTCTCTAAAGCTTCTAGCTGTCGGTTGATCCGGCGCTGCCGGGCTGCCCGGTCCAGCACCCGCCGCTGTCCAGGGTCCTGGGAGCGAACTAGATGGGACAGGGTTACAGGGTCAAGAAAGGGGAAAGCTGGGCCGGCACAGTCTCCTGGCCTCATCCCCGCGATGCTGTGGGAAGTTCCCAGCTCTTGACCCTGCTTCCTTCCAGCCTGGGAAGCCGGTTTCAGCCCTTCATGCTGACTCTTAGTCATCCAGCCCCAGCAGTCACTAGAGACACAGTAAACTGCGGCTGGGCAGATGGCTCAGTGGTTAGGAGCACTCTCCGCTCTTGTAGCGTGCTAGAGTTCAGTTTCCAGTACACAGGACCATCAGTCACCAGGGTGGTTCACAACCGCCTGTAACTTCAGCTCCAGGGGATCCAACTCCCCCTTCTGTCCTTCACAGGCACCTACACTCATCTGCACATAGCAACACACACACACACACACACACACACACACACACAATTTTTAAAAAAATAAGGGAGTACATTTAGGAAGTGACATTATGCTGACCCCTGGCTTCCACATTCAACACACCTGTGAATGTGGCAAAATATCCAGTGTATGTTTCTAGAATGTTCCTTTAGCCTGAGTGGCATCTCTATGCCCCGTGACTGCACGGAATACAGTCCTTGGACTAAAAGGGTCTCTGTTCCCTGGCGTGGCTCCCAGCCACCCTCCTCTCTTGGTGACAATGCTTCCCATTCCCACATCTCGGCTCCCCTCTTTCTCTTCAGACCACCTCTGCCTGCCCTTCTTTTATCGATAACCCTGACCCTTTCCCACCTCCCACAACCTTCATTGGGGCCTCAGGAAGCCCAGGCTGGCCTGGAACTTACTATGTAGCTGGGAATGACTCCGGACGACCTGTGCACCACCACGCCTGTGGCTTATGTGGTGCTGGGAATGGAACAGAGCTTTGTGTATGCTAGACAAGCACTCTACCAGCGGAGACAAACCCCTAGCCTCTTTTCTGGCATTTCTTTCTTCCAAAAGTTCATTTGTTCTATGTGTTTCTGTGCGCGTGTGGGCACCGCAGTACAGGTGTGGAGGTCAGAGGACAATTCGTGAAGTTTTGTCTCCCATCACGCGGGTCCTGGGGACTGACCTCAGGTGGTCAGGCCTGGCAGCAAGCACCTTGACCTACTGTGCCATCCTGTCAGCCGCCCATTCCAAAGCTGGGTTTCCCAGGGCATGCCAGTCTCAAGCCAGAACCCCCTCAAACCACAGACTTGGTTACAAGACATCGGGAAGCCGAGGCAGGACCAGCCTAACTACATAGGCAGCCTCGGCTACAAAGCGAACCCTGTCTCACTAAGTAAGAAAGCAGAAATAGTATGGGAGTGGAGTGGGGAGGGGCGGGGGCCTGAAGCCAAGCGCTTTGGTTTCCTGGCTCCTCTGTGCCCTCCATCCCGAAGCTGGGGTGGGTACAGACGCTCACTGCACCCAGGCTTTGCAATGACAAGCTGTGCTCTCCGTCCCCGCGTCTAGCTGGCGGCAAACATTCACAAAACCTGAATGAATGCTTGCGGGGCGACCCCAAGGCCGAGCGAGAGGGCCCGCGAGAGGACCTGACATGAACAACGGGGCGGACGAACGTTACGGTGGACTCGAACTTGGGGTGAAGAAAAGGGCGAACCTCCAAGGGCTCACATACCCGAGGGTTTCTTCTCCACCATTTGCGCAACACAGTCGCCGGGAGAACCGACTGCGCAGGCGTGTTAACCACCCAACCCTCGGTCCCGGCGCATCCCTTCCGGTGGCGTGCCCTCGCGCGCGTGCGCGGCCCTCCCCCTCCGCCTGGAAGTCATGGCGTGATGTTCCCTTGGAGACCAGAAGGCTTTCCCGCCATCTTTGATTGGGGCACACCTACTTCCGGTCGCGTTGTGGTTGTTTTAAAAAAAAAAGTAAACCTAAGCGCTCTCCCCGCGCCCCCCACCCCCCGCTTTTAAAACTTGGTGCGCGTGGTCTTTAGGGGCGCGCTCTGGCCCCTGGGGCTCTTTTGCAGCCCCGGAGCGTGTCCCCGGGCAGGGGCGGGTGGGTTCGGGGGGCTTTGTTAAACCCCCGCCCGCGGCGATGTCCTGCATCGAGCTTCCCGGGGGTGGGGTGGGGCGTCAGTCCCCGCCGCGCCCCTCTCCCCCAGGCCTCGCCGTCCAGTCCTCCTCCGGGTCAGGGCCGTGGTCAGGACCCGCCCCCGCGTCCCCCGGACCCTCCTCGAAAGGTCACTTCCCCTCCCTGGGACTCGGGCGGCGCCGGGGACCGGACCCCCGGCTGCTCCCCACCCCCGGCCCGCGCCCGCCCGCGGGACAATCCTTGCCTTGTCTCGCCGTCTGCATCTCGGGTTTGCGGCGGCCTCGGGTTACGCCTTGTTTCCAGGGCGGAGTCCCGAGCGCAGCTCCTCCTCGCCGCGCGCTCGCCTGCCCCTCTTCCCAGAATCTTCTTCTCCCGGAGTCCGGAACCCAGGCTAAGCTCAGCCCCGCTGCCGGCCCGGGTGTCGCCCGAGTGCGCCGCTGCCGCCGCCGCCGCTGGCCATGGCTGCGTCCGGCCCGGAGCCCCGGCTTCTGCTCCTCCTGCTGCTGCTGCTGCCGCCGCTGCCCCCGGTGACTTCTGCCTCCGACCGACCCCGGGGCTCCAACGCTGTCAACCCAGGTGAGAACCCGGGAGCCCAGTGGGCAGAGTCGACACGTCTGCCAGCCTGGGAGGGAGTGTCCAGCCCCTCCCGGGCCCCAGAGCATCACCCTCTCCCCCACGCTGAACTAAGGGGTCCCAGTGCCCCCTGACAGCAGGAACACTCCAGCCCCCAGCCCTGTGTGTTACCCTCCCCCGACTCTTCTGGAGACCACATGTCCCAGGGCAGGAAGAAGTTTAAGGAGGGAAGTGGAAGGAACTTCAGTGAAATAACGGGGAGGTGGAGGGGATACACACGTGGGACACCGAGCCGGGGGTCCTAAGTGCCAGTTCCGTGGCTGTGACAGACAAATTGCTGGTGATCACTGTGGCGACGGCGGAGACCGAGGGATACCGGCGTTTTCTGCAGTCTGCGGAGTTCTTTAACTACACTGTCCGGGTGAGTGGGGGCCTCTTGGGAGAAGCTCCATCCACCCGGAGTGGGCTGGCGGCTGGTCCTGTTTCCTCACCTTGGCCAGCTGAACCTCTGCCATGGCGTGGGGGTGGGGTCTTTCCTGCAGACCCTGGGCCTGGGCCACGAGTGGCGAGGGGGAGACGTGGCTCGAACCGTGGGTGGAGGCCAGAAGGTCAGATGGCTAAAGAAGGAGATGGAGAAATACGCAAACCAGGAAGACAGGATTATCATGTTTGTAGACAGGTAAGGAGGGTCTGGGGTGGACAGACAGGGAAAGGGAGAACAGGGGGAGAGAAAAAGAGACCCCTTTCCTTGCCCAGCTACGACGTGATTCTGGCCAGCAGCCCCGCAGAGCTGCTGAAGAAGTTTGTCCAGAGCGGCAGTCATCTCCTGTTCTCTGCTGAGAGCTTCTGCTGGCCCGAGTGGGGGCTGGCAGAGCAGTACCCTGAGGTGGGCACGGGGAAGCGCTTCCTCAACTCCGGTGGTGAGTGGCAAAGGACTCAAGACAGCGCTCCCTTCCCTCCGCCCACCCCCAGTGGTGGGGGTAGTGCATGCTCCAGGTTCCCCGAGGTTGGAGAGAGAGTGGGATCCTGGGATTCCTGGGGGTCTATCTCTCGTCTGTCCCCCAGGATTCATTGGCTTCGCTCCCACCATCCATCAAATCGTCCGCCAGTGGAAATACAAGGATGATGATGATGATCAGTTGTTCTACACTCGACTGTACCTGGACCCAGGGCTGCGGGTAGGGAGACTGGGCATGGGGCGTCCCCTAGTCGAACGGGAGAGAAGGCATGAGGGGAGCTGGAGAGAGATAGGGTGCCACCTGTCCCCACTCATGTCCATCTCATGCTCTCTAGGAGAAACTCAAACTTAATCTGGACCATAAGTCCCGGATCTTCCAGAACCTCAATGGAGCCCTAGGTGAGGAAGAAGATGGTTAGAAGTGGGTGGTGAGGGACGGGTGCCTGCCAGAACCGGGCTGGTCTGCAGATGACCAGTGTGCTGACTTATCCAGTACCCAAGCATATGATATTGTGTTAGCGACAGGGAGGCTGGGGTGTGGCTCAGTGGTAGAGCTCCTGCCTAGAATCCCCCAGTGAGGGG